ATTTGAGTGGTTATGAGATAGACGGTTTGGAATTAATCCTATAAGTTGGGGTTGTTGATAAGTTAAGCACCATCAGCGTTCAGCTGCAGAGCCACTGGCACTGAGATTTCATATTCGATCATTTCCAGGCGATACTGAATCTGATGACGAAGGTCAATATGAACACATGTCCTGAGACCATTTTCTCTCCTTTGAACAACTTTTGTAGCCCTCATCGATGTCTGAGAGTAAGCCGGCAGGTCAGGAGTTAGAGGCTTCAATTCTTATGGCGAAATACCCGTATCAGTCATACTAAGCGCGCATCTATAGATGATGTGTAACACCCAGAAGCAACAGACACAGTCAGCGAAGGAAGAAGAGGAAGATGCGAGAGGAAGGTCTATATTTCCAGCACGCAGGGCTCGAATTGCCCGGGTACAAGCTAATCAGTGTCATTTATAACAAGGTTAGACAAACAGTCCTCCACCTGTTCCAGCACGGCCAGGCCAGCGTTCTTATCTGAAAAAGAGGAAACAGGAGACTCATTTAGTGATGTCATGTTAGTTTTTATATCATTACATCGCTCCCTCCCCTCTGGAGGCACTGTCCTCAGTGCCTGGCGGCGGTATAGGGTATGCACTACCTCCATCAGTGGGCACCTCGAAGTAGGTCGTAGCTGGTGGCGGTTGCGAAGATGTCGACGGTTCTTTGACAGCTGGTGGATAGTGTGGTTTCAGCTGGTTGTAATGTGCTGAGATGAGATTTTCCTGGGGGCGTCGCAAGTTCCGCAGGACATATGTAGTTGGAGGTCGGTGTTGTACGATTTCATATGGACCTTTCCAGGGGGCGTAGAACTTGGGGCACGAACCGGCAGGGACTGACGGCCGATGAAGCCAGACGTAGTCACCCGGGGAATAGGTTGGTCCGTGGGCAAACCGATCATAGTTGCTTTTCTGATGCTGCGAAGAAGACTGCAGATGTCGACGTGTTAGGTTGTAGGCTGTGTCGAGGTGGTGACGAAGGTTGCGGACGTAGGGAATACAGTCGATCTTCTCGTATGGTAGCAACGGTGTCCGGATCTCAACAGGAAGGCGAAGTTCATGCCCAAACAAGAGTAGAGCCGGGGAAAATCCGGTCGACGAATGCACGGAGGAGCGGTATGCAAGCAAGCATTGAGGCAGGACATCGTCCCAGGTGTTCTCCGGTGCGTTGTGCAAAAAGGCACGAAGGAGATGCTTGATGGTTCGGTTGGTGCGTTCCACCAGTCCATTCCCTTGTGGATGATAAGGCGTAGTATGGGTCTTTCGAATGCCGAAAGCATTGCAGATGTGAGAGATAAGAAGACTCTCGAAAGCAGCGCCTTGATCAGAGTGTAGATAAAGAGGGGCACCAAAACGGGACACCCAGTTGTCGATGAAAGCTCGCCCGATCGTCAGGGCATCTTGTTGCTGCAAGGGGACTGCTTCGCACCACTTGGTGAAATAGTCGACCATGACAAGTATATAACGATTCCCGCGTCTCGATGTTGGTACTGGCCCAATGATGTCGACTCCAACTCGATGATTAGGGGCTTCGGTCAGCATAGGTACTAGGGGTGCTCGGGGAGTTGGCTTAGGCTGTTTGATTTGCGCACATATAGCGCAATTGCGGCAAAACTCCATAACATCATGGTGTATAAGTGGCCACCAGAAGCGTTGACGGATAGCGTGTTCAGTTTTCTGTTGGCCAGCGTGTCCCAGTTGATGATGCACCTGACTAATAAGCTCGGGTACTTTAACAGTTGGGACGAGGAGTCGGGGGTTGGCATTTGGTTCCACTATGTAAAGAACATTATCTATAAGTCGTAGTAAACCCCACTTCTCGCAGATGCACCGCGTGGCTGCTGGTAAATCCCGTAGTTCTTTGGACGTCGGTTTATCGTTCCCATGCTGTTGACGTAAATAAATGGGCTGTATCGTTGTGTCCGCCGCTTGCAGGGAGGCCCAGTCGGTGTCAGCTGCAGCACCGAGTAACACATTCAGTGTGTTCTCGCAATCGGGCAGGCGAGAGAGAGAGTCGGCGTTACCATGTCGTTTTCCAGGCCGGTATTCACAAATGAAATCAAACTCCTGTAACCGTTCCTGCCAGCGGGCAAGTTGGCCGTCGGCATCACGAAAATTTTGCAACCACTGTAACGCCTTGTGGTCAGTCCGGACTCGAAATTTGCGCCCCAATAAGTAATGACGAAAGTAGGAGAGGAAGTAGACGAGGGCTAGCATCTCACGTCGCGTCGTCGAATACCGCGTCTCTCTTTTGTCTAGCATCCGACTAGCATATGCTATCACTCGTATTTGTCCGTCAGAGGTTGTTTGCGAGAGAACGGCTCCTATTGCATGTGCACTGGCGTCGGTATCCAGAATGAAGGGCCCGCTACCAGCCGATGTGTCTGGAAACGATAGGACAGGGGGAGAAGTTAGACGTTTTTTAAGCGTGTCAAAGGCTACCTGGCACTCATTTGTCCAAACAAATTTCCGTCCTTTTTCTGTCAAGCGATGGAGAGGGGCTGCTATACTGGCGAAATTCTGGACGAAACGCCGGTAATAGGAGGCGAGTCCCATGAAACTGCGTACGTCAGTGGTCGATTTAGGGGTCGGCCAGTTAAGAACTGCTTGAGTTTTGCTGCTATCCGTATGTACTCCTTGTGGAGTAATCTCATGTCCAAGGAAATTAACAGATTTCTGCAGGAATTTGCATTTCGAGGCTTGCAGCTTAAGGTTACTCTCGCGTAAGCGTTGAAATACGGCGCGAAGGTTGGCATGATGGTCTTCGAGAGACTGGCCGAACACGATGATATCGTCCAGGTAGATGAGGCACTTTTTGGGGACTAGCCCTGCAAGTACTGTTTGCATGAGCCGTTGAAACGTAGCAGGGGCGTTAGACAGGCCAAATGGCATGGTTTCGAATTCGTACAGCCCCGTAGGCACAACGAACGCAGTTTTGGGGCGGTCTTCTGGGCGAATTTCAACTTGCCAATAGCCGGAAGCGAGATCTAGTGTGGAAAACCACTGTGCCCCACCTAAAGCATCTAAGGTAGCGTCGATGCGAGGCAAAGGAAAAGAATCCCGTTGTGTGATTGCATTTAAGCGGCGATAGTCGACACAGAGGCGGAGAGAACCATCTTTCTTTTTCACAAGAACGATTGGAGATGCCCACGGTGACGTAGACGGTTTAATCACCTTCTTTCGTAACATATCTGTTATCATGGTATCCAACTGCTGTTGGTAATGAATGGGCACTCGTCGCGGTGGCGTCCTAATGGGCAAGTTATCACCTGTCTGAATCTCGTGCTGTACGATATTAGTCCGCCCCATCACTTGCCCATCGTCAAATACACAACTGTACTCCTGTAGCAGGGCCAGGGTGTCGGTACGGTCTTTTAGACTGAGGTGGGGGTTATCATGGATGTTCACCACTGTCATCTGAGGTAAAGCACAAACATTAGCACTCTGGTTGCGGTTGACTGGTCGGCGACATGCGAGGTTATGTGTCCCCAGCCGAATTTGAAAGCGTCTTAGGTCAATGACAGCGTTTTTTTCAGTTAAGAAGTCCACGCCCAGTATGGCGTCCCATCGTATGCCATCACAAATGACGAATGACTGGACACAAGTAAAACCTGGGAACGTCACGGAAAGTGTGGCCATGTCTGTTACCTCTATAGGGGCTCCATTGGCGGTAATTAACTGGAGCTGATTGGGGAGAGGTTGAGGTTTGACCCCAAGTGTCTGGACCAATTGCGTGCGAACAACAGAGGATGATGCCCCGGTGTCCACCAGAAAAGTGACGTCAGTGCCCTGGAGTTTACCTTCAAGGAGGAGGGGAGATTTCGAGCAATTATCAAATAATGGCACATCAGAACATGGCTCACCTTGCGGTTTTTTGTTATGCCCACATTTCCATGCTCGCCGCCCGAACCGGCGACAGTAATAGCACTTACTGGGGTCATCATGCTGCTGGGACGGAATTGGAGGTTGGCTTGACGATGGAGCATTAGGCCGGCGTTGTCGTGATGCTGGGACGGTTGTTCTTCGCTCGGTGGTCCCGAGAGCATAGCAGGGCGTACTGGCAGCTGGAGTGAGAATATGCTCGACGCTCTCGAATCGCTTTACCACCTCAATGGCCTCTGAGACTGATTTTGCTGGCTGGCGTAGAAGCTGGCACTTCAGCTCATATGATGAGACACCTTGGGCAAAACGGCTACAGATAACATCATCTTGGTTCGGGTTGGGAAGGTTGGGAAATGCGCGCGATGCCATCTCGCGGAGTTGATGCAGGTAATCGAACGCTGTTTCGCCGGGCTCTTGACAGCGGCTGAGAAAAGTGTGCATGTACACCGAAGGGCTGGAGGTTTTGGCGAAACATTCGTCGAGGACACGCCAGTTGTAGCTGATGGGTTTGGACGCGGAGAAGCCCCCAGCGATAGCACGACGTAGTGCGGTGTCACTCATTGCTTGCATGATCTGAGTATATTGAGCGTGTGGAGTAAGACCGGATAAGAGAGGCTCCACGCGAATCTTCCACATTTCGTAATCGCTGTTCAGGTCCAACGTTGGTAATCCTCGAACCGGGAAGATGTGTTCTGTGGCTGGGGATTGTGGGTTGACTTGTGGGGTGGAGAAGATTGCAGGAGGATCGGAAGAATCTGATTTCATTTCGAGATTGAGTTTTGGACACCTCCGACACCAATTGTAACACCCAGAAGCAACAGACACAGTCAGCGAAGGAAGAAGAGGAAGATGCGAGAGGAAGGTCTATATTTCCAGCACGCAGGGCTCGAATTGCCCGGGTACAAGCTAATCAGTGTCATTTATAACAAGGTTAGACAAACAGTCCTCCACCTGTTCCAGCACGGCCAGGCCAGCGTTCTTATCTGAAAAAGAGGAAACAGGAGACTCATTTAGTGATGTCATGTTAGTTTTTATATCATTACAGATGTTCCTTGTGGCACCCAGTGCAGTAGACTCGCTCCTATCCGAAGATGTTGCAGGTTTAGACAATGTTTTTATCTACAAATGCTTTTCCAATGGCGGTATAATAATAATTTATATTTTGTATTAACGGGTAAGCCTACAGGAAATTCATGACATTTTTACAGGCACGATCAGTAATGTTATAAATTACAACCCTGAAGTATGACAAATTAATACTTTTTCAACAGAACAGGTTCTTATAAATGCTAAATTGTAAACCGTTTACTAAGGTCACTGTAGTAATTTATTGTAATCGTAGTATTAGTATTTCGAGATGACCGAATTACAAGAATCCAAACGAAACACAGAGAGGGCGAAATTCAGGAATTTGTATTTAGCGGAATTCTAATGCAATTCATATAAGAAATATTAAGTCAACAGTAAGTATTTAAACAATACAGAGATAGAAATTGTCAATCACCACATCCGCCACACGTCGAATGTCTCCTTGCGTATTTATACTGATATCGCGGTTTACTTGACAGTCTCTACGATCTTCTAACTGATTCTGTGATGTCATTTCCATCAGTATCATCTAGGCTTATTTCTGAATTATCCACAAAGTCAGGATTAGTAGCGGAGTCATTATAATCATAATCGGAACGACCTACCTCATTTATTCTCACTTGATCCAAGTGTCTGTTATGAACTGAATTATCTTCGATGTCTAATATCTTTACCATTCGATTTCCCATTCTTTGTAGTATGATACCAATAGAAGGTCTATAATCATTCCCTCTGTAATAATGTACATCAGATGTCCTGGACATCAGATGCTTTCTGAGAATTCGAGATTTGAATAGTTTTGCAGGACTTTCATGGGTACTTGTATGCTCCGCATTGCGATATTGAAGTAAGGAGTTATCCACACATCTCTCTAGCTCATCAAGATTTTGAGGACTCATTGATGCTATAGCACTCTTTAATGTTCGTACAAAATTTTCTGCCAACCCGTTTGACTGAGGATGACGTGGTGCTGTGTACAAATGACGACAACCAATATGTTTGAGCCAATCATTGAAGTTCTCCGTAAAATGAGTACTGTTGTCAGTAACTAAGACATCTAGAGTTCCTTCTCGACTAAAAATCTTTCTCAGCGCTCTGTGAGTGAATTTGGCATTAGGACTGTCTGTAATGATGACTTCTGGCCATCTAGAATAAGAATCCACAATAACTAAAGCATAATATGAATTTAAGAATGGACCACAGTAATCTGCATGAATACGCTGCCAAACCTCACAGGATGCAGGCCACGGTGTCCACGATGACTTCCCATAAGACATTTTATGTAAACAGCTAGAACAGCTCTTTGATCTTTTGTTAATGTCAGCATCAATTTCCGGCCACCAGCATGTTAGGCGTGCTAATGATTTCATCTTATCAGCTCCTAGATGAGCAGAATGTAGATCATCCAAAATCGCAGATCTTAATGTTGGAGGAATAGTCATTCTGTCATTCAGACATAGAAATCATTCAGGATGGATTGAAATCTCATCTCTTCGCTTATAAAAGTCTGGAAATCTTCGCTTACACTGAATATTCCAACCTCTTTTTGTTGCATTTATAACGCATCCGTAATATTTCTATCAATCATTAGCTGAAGTTTTAATTCCAAATGTACTTCGACCTATTCCGCCAACTTTAACACAAGCAATTCGTAATTTTGCTAAATCTCTTGAAGTATGTTTATTTTTATTGTATAAATTTTTTCTTATATGTGTTTAATTAACACAAGAAAGTTTATCTTGACTAAGTTTTTTAAGAGCAATAGAGCTCAGGTGGATGATTTTGAATTAGTTGTGTTCTCTGAGGAGCTGGTTGGTTTGATTGTGAAGCTTTCGTCGTCCTTCTGGACAACATTTTTAGCACAAGTTTTAGCATAAATTACTTACTTACTTTACTTTACTTCGGCTATCTCCTACGGGAGGATGAGCCGGCTTCATGAACCATGAAGTTTCATGGGAATTTGGTACGAGTGATGTCCCCAGCATCGCTCGGCCTTTTGTTTGAGAGTGCAGCTCTAGCCTTTACACAGCCAAGTGTGACCTACAAGGCAGTAGGAGTGGAGTAAGGAGTCCACTATCCATTGGCAGCCGGTGACCGGAGTCCGGTTCATTCGCCTTTTTGAATGGGGCCAGTCATCCAGGGCATCCAATAAGCCCTTTGTCCATACGTCTGCCGGTGAGCTCCAGTAAGCTTCATACGCCAGTCGTTGGAGGTTTGGAATCAGGATTTAGCCATCTCCCCTAGACTGTCATCCAATGGACAGTCAACCCGGTGAAGAGCGCCGGGCATCCGCTTTTGCCCTCTCACTTTGGTGAAAAACACCTCCGCCACGTGAAGGCAGTGAGTAGGACTTCCTCAGGAGAGGCTATGTAAGACGCCCGGTCATATGGGAGCATTTCAAGAGGTGTACGGAGGGGTGGCCAACCCGCAGCGCAAGACACCCACCCCCGACCATCCTGAGGCTTTGGAGGCATAAATTGAACTGATTTAAATTCTCCACGAAGGATCTAATTATGTCTCTTAGCAACCATCGTCGTAATTGGTAGTCGACTAACATTTGTATTGATCATTTTTTATTGATATGGAATTTGAACTTTCTTTGTCACGTGATTTAATTTTTATTACTTAGTAAATTTAGTCTATAGAGGTGATGTGTTTGTTAATCGCTGACTGATTCAATTGAGTGATTACCAGGCATCTAGGAATTCTCTGGCAGTATTTTCGGTGTTTCCTCTGTTTGAAATTTTGACATTATCCCAAGCATCAAATTGGTGTCCACATGCATTGATATGAAAGAATGTATATCATGTCTTTTTACAGCTAATTTGTGTTCTTGTATTCTGATTCGAAGCGGGCGCCCACTTTGACCGATGTACTACCTGTTACAGTTCATACAATTTATTTTGTAAATTGTATTAACTTTCTTTTCGTTTTCTGTTGGATCTATCGGTTTGCACAATATCGAATGAAGTGATTGTGCTGGTTGGCTGGCTTGTGTGCTATATCTGTTTCAAACGGTTTTAATATTCTAGTTGTTATTTCGGAGATTTTTTTTTATACATGGTAGGATGAATTTTCTTGTATGGTCTTTGATGATGGTTTGTTGTTGGTGTGTTGTGACTCGATTTTAAGCAACTTCTGATGAAATTGTGGGGATATGCATTCTCTTTGAAGACGGTTGGTTAGCAGGTGTGTTTCCTCCATTCTCTCAAAACCGGAGTAGTGCTACAGTGTTGTGTTTGAACTCTTTCAAACAATGTCTGCACACAGTTTTTTTTGTGGATAACTAATTGGGTTATTACTACTATAATACAATCATATCAATTAAATGTATCACTTAATCTTATTTTTTTTTAATTTTTGATTTACAGCTTGATTCCACACCGTATTTTTGGTACAAGTATGGAATATTCAGGATGGATATCGGTAGCCCGAATTTCGAAGGCCGACCATAGATATCAGATGTGCGTCGGCACGGGATCCAAACTCGGACCATGTGCATGGTCGGTGAAAGTATTAACCACTGTGCCACCGACGCCCAGATTACTTGATGTTTATTTTTAATTACAAGATTCCTGTTAGCCACAGGATGTGGAGACTTACAGCTTCCGTGACCTAATTCAGAATAATGCACATACCTCTTTCCTTTCATAAGCGACAAATAATCCGGGTTGATCACCACATTCACAGGTATCGGATTCACCTTAGTACATACAAAGGCGGAATAGACAGAGAGCAGTCATCCTAACTGGATTAACATTTTCTAATCTTATGATTATTTGATGGTGCTCCGGAATTTTTCTCCTCACATATAGACACTGCTTTACTTTCTCCCAAAAATAGCACCTCTTTCCGCACGAATGAGGAGTGCTTGCGAACACGCTTGTTTGAAGCGAAGTGAGGATCCATAGGTGGATCTGTTTGCAAACCGTATGACTGATACGGTTTGAAAACAGATCCACCTATGGATCCTCACTTCGCTTCAAACAAGCGTGTTCGCAAGCACTCCTCATTCGTGCGGAAAGAGGTGCTATTTTTGGGAGAAAGTAAAGCAGTGTCTATATGTGAGGAGAAAAATTCCGGAGCACCATCAAATAATCATAAGATTAGAAAATGTTAATCCAGTTAGGATGACTGCTCTCTGTCTATTCCGCCTTTGTATGTACTAAGGTGAATCCGATACCTGTGAATGTGGTGATCAACCCGGATTATTTGTCGCTTATGAAAGGAAAGAGGTATGTGCATTATTCTGAATTAGGTCACGGAAGCTGTAAGTCTCCACATCCTGTGGCTAACAGGAATCTTGTAATTAAAAATAAACATCAAGTAATCTGGGCGTCGGTGGCACAGTGGTTAATACTTTCACCGACCATGCACATGGTCCGAGTTTGGATCCCGTGCCGACGCACATCTGATATCTATGGTCGGCCTTCGAAATTCGGGCTACCGATATCCATCCTGAATATTCCATACTTGTACCAAAAATACGGTGTGGAATCAAGCTGTAAATCAAAAATTAAAAAAAAATAAGATTAAGTGATACATTTAATTGATATGATTGTATTATTATTGGTTTTTATTTAAGTCAATGATGAATTCGTTGCGATAAGTGTAAAGTTGCTCTAATGTTTTATCATGACCCTTAACAACTGCTCAACTATAGTAGTAATAAGAGTCTTGACAGCGAGAACAATAATAATACCGTTTATGCTCATAATAGGTATTATTATCGCAACGAATTCATCATTGACTTAAATAAAAACCAATAATAATACAATCATATCAATTAAATGTATCACTTAATCTTATTTTTTTTTAATTTTTGATTTACAGCTTGATTCCACACCGTATTTTTGGTACAAGTATGGAATATTCAGGATGGATATCGGTAGCCCGAATTTCGAAGGCCGACCATAGATATCAGATGTGCGTCGGCACGGGATCCAAACTCGGACCATGTGCATGGTCGGTGAAAGTATTAACCACTGTGCCACCGACGCCCAGATTACTTGATGTTTATTTTTAATTACAAGATTCCTGTTAGCCACAGGATGTGGAGACTTACAGCTTCCGTGACCTAATTCAGAATAATGCACATACCTCTTTCCTTTCATAAGCGACAAATAATCCGGGTTGATCACCACATTCACAGGTATCGGATTCACCTTAGTACATACAAAGGCGGAATAGACAGAGAGCAGTCATCCTAACTGGATTAACATTTTCTAATCTTATGATTATTTGATGGTGCTCCGGAATTTTTCTCCTCACATATAGACACTGCTTTACTTTCTCCCAAAAATAGCACCTCTTTCCGCACGAATGAGGAGTGCTTGCGAACACGCTTGTTTGAAGCGAAGTGAGGATCCATAGGTGGATCTGTTTGCAAACCGTATCAGTCATACTGTTTGCAAACAGATGAATGTAATACGGATATCTGGGAGAAATAAAGCTTGAAGTCAATTCTCCTATATAACTTTGTTGTGAACAACACCCTTGGCTTAAAGATTATTGATGTATTATGTTGAGATCAGTGATATATTTATTCCATTTTTCAGCAGTCTTATCGTAGTTTCATAACAGGAAAGAAATTTGATCGTGGATGCGAAAACTAGATAAGGTCATGTTAAGTTGTTTTACTGCATCAAATGGTGCCGAGGTCGGTTCCGTAATCCTCCATTTGCTCCATTTGTGTCTGCATGGCGGACTGTACTCGTAAGTTGAGTAGAATGTTGAAAACTTTGAAAACCAGTTGCTTCTTCATTTCAGATCACGAATACTCATTTACAGCATGTTCGCCAGCGTCTTCAAATGGTAGAATTGGATCGTTCCTGGAATTTGAGTGGTTATGAGATAGACGGTTTGGAATTAATCCTATAAGTTGGGGTTGTTGATAAGTTAAGCACCATCAGCGTTCAGCTGCAGAGCCACTGGCACTGAGATTTCATATTCGATCATTTCCAGGCGATACTGAATCTGATGACGAAGGTCAATATGAACACATGTCCTGAGACCATTTTCTCTCCTTTGAACAACTTTTGTAGCCCTCATCGATGTCTGAGAGTAAGCCGGCAGGTCAGGAGTTAGAGGCTTCAATTCTTATGGCGAAATACCCGTATCAGTCATACTAAGCGCGCATCTATAGATGATGTTCCTTGTGGCACCCAGTGCAGTAGACTCGCTCCTATCCGAAGATGTTGCAGGTTTAGACAATGTTTTTATCTACAAATGCTTTTCCAATGGCGGTATAATAATAATTTATATTTTGTATTAACGGGTAAGCCTACAGGAAATTCATGACATTTTTACAGGCACGATCAGTAATGTTATAAATTACAACCCTGAAGTATGACAAATTAATACTTTTTCAACAGAACAGGTTCTTATAAATGCTAAATTGTAAACCGTTTACTAAGGTCACTGTAGTAATTTATTGTAATCGTAGTATTAGTATTTCGAGATGACCGAATTACAAGAATCCAAACGAAACACAGAGAGGGCGAAATTCAGGAATTTGTATTTAGCGGAATTCTAATGCAATTCATATAAGAAATATTAAGTCAACAGTAAGTATTTAAACAATACAGAGATAGAAATTGTCAATCACCACATCCGCCACACGTCGAATGTCTCCTTGCGTATTTATACTGATATCGCGGTTTACTTGACAGTCTCTACGATCTTCTAACTGATTCTGTGATGTCATTTCCATCAGTATCATCTAGGCTTATTTCTGAATTATCCACAAAGTCAGGATTAGTAGCGGAGTCATTATAATCATAATCGGAACGACCTACCTCATTTATTCTCACTTGATCCAAGTGTCTGTTATGAACTGAATTATCTTCGATGTCTAATATCTTTACCATTCGATTTCCCATTCTTTGTAGTATGATACCAATA